GTGCACGAGTCCGTACATCATCTTCTTCTTACTATATCCTCCTTCAATAACCTTTTTATAAATCTCATTCATGTCGATGTTAGCCTATGAAGCACCCTCCGTTTGTCGCTAGCAACCTCCTCCTCGATTATTTTTTTGACGGTCTCCCGCATAAGTACGCAAATTATAATATTAAATAGCTATGTCAATAAGTTATATATATATACTATGCATATTGTGTGCTCTCTATGCCTCGTATGTCTAGATTGACCGACTTCAATCGCACTAGTCTCACTCTTATAGTTTTGGGCACCGAGCCGTCATCTCGGATTGAGCAATAGACTCAAGTTTTACCCTTTTTTATATGCTATCCATCCCATTCTCTTGTGAGATATATGTTGACTTAGGGTTTTTCTTAACATGATAAAAGAAGTTAGAATACTTTTTTTGCGCTAGACTCGCCATGCTTTCTTAATGTTTTCCTTGATATTCTTCTCCCACATAAATGACTTCTACAAGAAAGTTAATAATATTAATTAGTACATTTAATTGAACATTAATATTTTTTTATTTAAATATGAAGTCATGTAATAAATTAATTAAACAAAAAACTACCTTAAACTCTTGTCGGTAAAAGTCTTTCGTTTTCGAACTCATTGTCTTCTACGTGCATTCGAATATGTTAGCATAATCTTGAAATGTCTTAAAGATACGACAAACACAAATATCGAAAGGATGCAACCTATGAAAGTAGACATTAAATAACATTTAAATGAACACATAATTATAGTAATATAAGAAAAAAAATATTTTCATAAAATTATGCATAAAACATACTGTTTGCGACCAAAGATAATGATCGTAATTCGAGGATCAACCGTGGATCCGATAGGTTCCGAAGCCGATTTAGAAAGGACGTTCCATGATGAGCCATGTTCGGGAACATGACGTTTTTCTTGTTGGGTCGAGTGCATTGATGACGATGAAGGGTGAGATGAACGGGGACGTGCGGGTCCAAAATAAATCGGCTCGAGCTAAGACATGTCAAACGATGATGGGGTTGACACGAGGGCACATGAAGGGTAGTATGAAGGTATGTCGATAGGTGGAGCCAATCGATCGGGAACATAATCTTAAATTAGATGACAGAATGGTAATCTAATAGTTAATAAACAATTAAATATGTTTTTCTTTAATTCTTTTTGGAGGTGTTTACAACTATAGAACAAGCATTAAAAAACATCATTTTCCCCTATCTTGTTCAAGCCTGTGATACATTTGGTATTTAGTGTATACACCCAAACAAAACATCCCTTTATTGGGCATAAGTTATTGGTCCAAAACGCTAAGTTTTTATTCACTATAACTAAATTGGATGCGTTGTGCAGTAAAAGGGACTTGCAAAGGTAATCAAGTTGGCAAAATATACAAAGAAGGAAAGTGCGGGGGAGGAAATCTGGCTATGTATTCTTTTATTGTTTTCTTATTTAGTTAGTTAGATTAGTGTTACATCCATTATCTGCAATAGGTGTTTTCATCAATTCGAAAGAAAAAAAACCTTTCCTGTTATAATTTGATGAATTGAATATCTGTATTTTGGATTTTAGTTAATTGAATTGAATTTATTTAAATTGAAAAAAACTATTCAATAAAAAATGAAATGAATAATGATATTAATAGTAATAATGAAAAATTGATAATAATGAATCATATGGTGAAATGGTATATTCAATTGATTGAGAAAATTTTTCAATTTTAAGAAAATTATAATGAATTGATTGAAAAGAAAAATAAACATGATCAATTGACCAAATTAATAACAGAAAGTTTTTTTTATAACTAATTTGTGAAAATACATATTGCGAATAATAGGTTTAGCTGTTAAATTAGTATATATTAAAATCCATTTTATTTAATATTTCTAATTAGTCTAGCATAGTTTGCAAATTTACTTGATCATTAAGTCAATAGTTTTGGATAAAAAGAGAAACACTAACATCGTAATTTTTGTCCATCACCAATGTATAAATTTCACTCCAGACTCTCCTTATTGCCAAGCTCCATGCTTTGTCTTATATAACTTTATGCTTCGTTTTTAGTTTTCAATTACATATTAGTGCTTGCAATTAAACTTATGTCTTGCTATTATTGCCTACTCTTTCTTTCACTTCTTTCATTATTTATATTAATTTTACTAGATTTGCTAACCATTTCTTTAATTAATAATAATATCAACTTTTTATATCCAGATCGATTGTTTGACCAATTGTTTAATTAGTTTTTAAAATCTGTTGGGATTAATTGATAAAAGGGGTATAGTTTTGGGGTACAAGTAGACATTACCCTTTTTGTAAATAGCACGTGCTCCATCCGCTCCGCCAAAAGCGGGGCTGTTGAGCTGTAATTTTGAATTATGAGCCAGAATATTCTCGAAACTTGAAGCGAATCTACTTAATTTTAGTGCAACTTTTAAAGAAATAGTATATTATTTAAATCACCATTGTCGTGAATCATATTGTCAATAAAATTGTTTCGGAAGTGAATATAATATTCGATGCGACGAATAAACTTCACCACTATCAAAATACAACCTGGGAAGTGGAAAGGACTGATAAAATTAAAATGAAAAGACACGTTGCATTTTTGTCCATTTAATTTTAAATATACATGTGTTTCACATAAAATTAAATTCTAACTCTTTTAATTAATTAATCATTTAACAGACAGGAAAATTGTTATGATGTAATTTTGGTTTTCTGAAACAATTATGAGAATATGGAGACGAGGATGCTGATACCTATTAATCTATAACCAATGGTTACAATTTCCCTTAAGTAGCAAGGTCTTGATACACGTGAAAGAACAATAATTAAAAATGTAGGGCTACATCATTAATTAAACTCGTGCTATGCAAGCTCATGCCCTCCTTTTGGGTCAATATAAAAATACAAAAAAGTTTTTTAATACTATGCTAATGCCTATTAATTGTTATTAATTTTATTTTCTTTATATGATAAATTAAAGGCTATAACAAAGGAGATTTAACCTACGAGTTGTATACCCAATTAGTTTTTTTCTAACTAAGTGTATCATTTTTAATAAACCATGTAAATCCATATAGCATATTATGAATGCTGCTGTTACTGTTAGAATTTCATAACTAACAAATTGTAAGAAATATAGAAGTATAAATTAGTTTATTCATTAGTAAATGAATGAAGACCAAACAAATTTTAACAGTAGCGTAACAAACTTTTTTTAGAAATTGAATGATCTAATTGAACTCACAATTTCAACCCTCCACAAGCTTATTAATCTTACTTACTGTCAGAACTTGCCTCCACACTTCTTGGATGACTGCATAAGAGAATATGAGATAATTTCAATCTTCATTTTTACTATTGCAAAACTCGCAAACATGATTAGTTATCTTTTTTTTTTTTTTTTTTTTTTTTTTTTTAATTGCTTGCATTTTTTTTAAAATAATCTATCTCTCGTATGTTTAACCAACATATAAAATTGAATATGAAAAATATATAAAAGCTTTGAATCAATTTATATTAATAATAAACTATCATCTAGTAAGCAAGCTCAAAAACATCCTTTATACATCGAATCTTTTATAGTAGTGAGTATTCCTGCCTGTCACGCTGGTGACTGAGTTCGACAATATCAAAACAGTATCAAAAGCGAGGTACAACAATAATATGAGATTTAAGAGAAAGAGCATTAGAATTGTAAAGAGAGGAAGAAATTATGTGCAGCAAATCCGGAAAAAGAGGAAGAAAGAAGTAGCAACAAACAGTATTAGATAAGAAGAATTGTAGATATACTCTAGTAATAGTGTTATTAAACATGATTTTGATTAATTTTATCTGTACTAAACAAAATATAATGAGGATTATAAATACATATAATTCACATTTCTTTGCAACTCACGACAGTAGACATTCATTCAAATTTTATTTCTGTTTCTCAATTTATTTTAGTCTAACAAATTATGAGCTGGCCATAGCTCGTCTAATTGAAGAGGTCATTTCAAATGGTGCCAAATTACATTAGCATCAATTACTTATAACATCACCTGCATTTTCATTGATTCTACTAAACAAGTACCAGAAAAGGAAACGAGTAGAACCGAGGAAGTAAAAAAGGAAGAACACAAAAACATATATTATCAATTAATTCTAGCCAGAGATAGTTGGAAAATGCATTTGGCGATTGGCGTTGCGCCAAATGTGTTAGTTTACACGAGTATGGTTTTCGTTAGATGATTTTAAGGAATCATGATTCACGAATTCCATCAAAATTATTTTATTATTTAAAAATACATAAAAACACTTTATTTACTCTTTTATAATAAAAAAAGATGGAAAAGGAAAATAATGATGATTTGGAGTACTGGAGGCTTACTTGCTAGTGGCCATTTAAAGCAATTTTGAAAGAAAAAAAAAAAACAAACTACTTTTTATTAAAATAGTAAAACTCCAAAAACAAACTACTTTTTCAAGTGTGTGGAGACAAAGCTTTTCAATCCACGTGAAATAAAGAATGGAAGGGGGTAGGTGCATCATGGACTAAAGTCATGTATAATAATGCAGCTAAAGAGAACCTCGTGCTTAAAATGTAAAAGCACCTTCTCTTCTTTTCTCTCATTCATCGCCATCAGTCCACTCATATATTTTTAATTTTGAATCTGATGTCAAAAAAATTCTTCTCTCTAATTCATAGCCCAACCAATCCACTCATGACTCTCATATTTTGAATTTCAATGTCCGAAAAGATTCTTGTCTCTAATTCATAGCCCCACCAGTCCACTCATGGCTCATCTTTTGAATTTGAAATTGATGTCAGAAAATATCTCGTTTTGGATTACAGACATTATTGATGTCTGGTTGAGAGTCGAGACATCAGACATGCTTTCTTATCCTTTTAGCTCATCTCTGTTTTATTCCTATAAATAGGGTCTTCGTTTCACTCTACCACCAGGACTACTAACTAGTTCGGTTTGTTTAAAAAAAATGTATAAGATTAAGCTGATGGGTTTGGTTTCTCTTGCATTGTTGGTAATGGTTTTTGTGCTGCCAACTTCGGCAGATTACAATTATAGTAACCGAAAGATTTTACCCATTTTGAAGGATTCAGTTTCCAAGAGCTATGCGGTTGTTTTTGACGCAGGGAGTTCAGGGAGTAGAGTGCACGTGTTTTGCTTCGATCAAGACTTGTCTCTCCTTCCTGTTTTCAACGGCACCGATGTTGAGCTTTTTGCTAAGGTTAATTACAACCTTTATTGTACAATGTCAACCACATAGCTAGACGACATGTCTTCGGTCAGCCTGTTTGCTTACATAACATTCTAATTGCTGTTTCTGGTGTTAATGTTGTAGGTAAAACCAGGTTTGAGTGCATATGCAGAAAATCCAAAAGCTGCGGCGGAGTCACTTGTCCCCTTGCTTGAGGAAGCCGAAAGTGCTGTTCCCAAAGAGTTGAGATCCAAGACCCCGGTCAGAGTTGGGGTCAGTCAATCAAATTTTTCATTTTTTCCAATTGCATTGTCAAATAGCTTTTTACGGGGCATTGTTGGTGGCATAGAGACCCTGTAACTTTGTAAACTTGTCAAGAAAAGAAGAGTTAAATCCTAGAATTTAGCATTTACTAGGAATGATATAAGTAATTTTTTTTAAAGAAAAAAAACCTTATGCATTTCTTCACTAAAAGTTGCTCTTTCTGTTTTTTTTTTTTTTTTTTTTTTAATTTTTTTTTTTTTATGCATTGCAGGCTACTGCTGGCTTGAGGTCATTGGAAGGTGATACATCTGAAAGGATTTTGCAAGCAGTAAGTATGTTTGTGTTTGTGATTCTATTGAATAGTCACTATCTATTAATTAGCACTCTGTCCATGTTCACATGCTTTTATCATATGATGTTGAATAATTACTCTTGTAGTGAATTTCCTGTTTTAAAGGTCAGGGATCTTTTGAGAGATAGAAGCAGCCTAAAGTCTGAGGCAGGTGGGGTTTCGATTTTGGGTGGCTCTCAAGAAGGTTCTTATATGTGGGTATGTTACTTCTTTGACATTTAGATAATTTTGTATATATTGTGCGACAGAGTTGTCAGAAATTCACATTAGACTTGCTTCTGATTTTACAGATGGCAATAAATTACTTAGTTGGAAATTTGGGAAACAAATATCCCAATACAGTTGGAATAGTTGATCTTGGTGGTGGATCTGTTCAAATGGCATATGCTATCTCCCAGGCAAATGCTGCAAATGCTCCTCAGAAACCAGATGGACAGGATCCATATGTGAAGCAACTGCTTCTGAAGGGAACCGCATATTTCCTCTATGTTCATAGGTTCCTCCCTGTTTCATTATTATGTTGTATATGCTATTTTCCTGGCGTTTTTCAAAAATGCATGATTGTTGACCCTCGTTTTTGTTTGTTAGTTTATGTGTCTTTTTTTTTTTTACCTCTCTTCTGGTGCATTCTTAAATAATTTCATTTTCAGTTTTTGACAATGTTGTAACGTATGGAGAGAATTATTTTGTTAACCATGGATTTGTTTTCTTAATATGCTTTTGGCATCTTGCATGTGCAGTTACTTGAACTATGGCTTATTGGCATCTCGAGCAGAAATTTTGAAGGTTTCTAAAGATTCTGGCAACCCGTGCGTCTTGACTGGTTATGATGGTATGTTCAAGAATTACTCTTTTTTTTTTTTTTTTTTTTTCAAATATCTGATGCTGCATTTTGTAACTCAAATTGTTCATGTCTTCATCAAAATCTTCTGTAAGGAAAGAAAAATAATACTATGCATTTATACAAGATCCCGTTATTTGTCTAATTTTTTATTCTAAAGGCGTCTACAACTATGGGGGAAAGGATTACAAAGCATCATCTACCCTTGCTGGTTCAAGTGTACAAGCATGCAGGCGAGTAATTCTTAAAGCTCTCCAAGTTCATGCACCATGTAAGAATCCTAATTGCACATTTGGCGGAGTATGGAATGGTGGCGGTGGGGATGGACAAGGGAATTTGTATGTTGCTTCATTCTTCTTTGACAAGGCTGCCGAGGTACTAATCTTCCTCATCTTTGGCTGTTTCAGAAATCATGCAAGTTTTAGTTTCTTCTTTATGACTTGGATGCTAACTGGATTATTGGAATTTATAGGCTGGTTTTATTGATCCAAATGAACCTATTGGCAAAGCAAGTCCTGCAGATTTCAAGAAGGCAGCTAAACTTGCTTGTGCAACTAAATTTGAAGATGCAAAGTCTAGGTATCCGAGTGTGGAGGAGCGTGACCTTCCGTTTATTTGCATGGATTTTGTCTACGAGTACACATTGCTTGTAGATGGATTTGGTAAGTCTTTCACGCTTGAGTGAAATGGACAGGAAGTTCAGATAATTGACTTGCATTTATTCTTAACAGTCATTGTGATCTGTTTGGTTATTATTCTTGTATAGGTCTTTCTTCCCGGAAAAAGTTTACGTTGGTGAAGAAGGTCAAGTACCATGATTCCTTTGTTGAAGCTGCATGGCCATTGGGCAGTGCTATAGAAGCTGTGTCGTCAGTAGCATCACTTTGAATATTATTAGGATCTATAATGATCCATAATGAGTCTGACAATGGAGGTTGAATTGGGAAATCGGATTTGGGATTGCTTGCATCTCGTGAATAAAGAGTGAAAAGTTAAAACAAGTAGCTACCCACCTTGGTCTTCTTTGGTGATTATGTGCTGGCCTTTGTTTTGCTTAAAATATTTTGGATGAAAAGCATTTAATGATATTTGGTATGTAATGATTGAAAAATACGCTGATGGTAGGAGGATGATGATATGTTGGTGATCTGGTCAATGCATCAAAATAATACAGGAAAAATAAGCCTCCAGGCTCTAACATAGACAAAATAATAAGACAACAAGTGCCTAAGAATCGATTTCTAAAATCAAATTTCTAAACCATTTCAGTTAAAGACCAATAAATTCTTTTCCAAGTTTAGCATTTAAAAGGGAAAAATTCTCAGCAATCACAATCACTCCTGTTTTTGTATCTATTCCGCAAATTAGTCAAACAAAATAAAAAGATTCGGTCAAAATTTATCTTGTGTTTGGAATTTATACTATTCAATTCAATTGGATTAAATTGCATTAAATTGTAAGATGACTATCAATTAAAACTTTGGAAATATTTGAGAAATAAAAAAATCTTTAGAAATATTTTAGGAATTAAAAAAACATTTTAAAAAATCAAATTTTAATAATTTTAAATAATAAATTTTTTGACAATACTCCATTAACATTTAAAAAATGTTTAAGAAATAAAAAATAATAATTCAAAAATATTACAATTCTATAAAAAAAAATAAAAAAAATTGAAATATTAGGAATTTAAATTTTTTGAAAAAAATTAAGTAATAAAAAAATTATTTGAACATTTTTAAAAAATATTTTAACCCAAATTAGATTTGTCTCTCTCTTAAGCATTCTCAAAGTTCTATATTCTGTAAAAAAATAAAACATTTTTTAAAAAATATTAAAAATTTCATGATTAATAATTTTTGAAATTATTTACTTTTAAAATTTTTAATTTTTTTTCAAATATTGTTAGTAATTTATTCCATAAACATTTTTGAAAGTTTTTTTCTTCAAAAAACAAAGTGTTTTTTATTTTCAAAATATTTTAAAATCATAAAAATAATATTTAAAATATTTTTTTATTTATTTGTTTTAACGATGTGAGTTATCATTGGATTTGGATGTTACCATTTAGTATTGTACGAATTAGAAACCTAAAAATTTACTTTGGTTAAGAGATTACATAATGAGGAGTTGGTTACGCTTTTGAAAAAATATCAATAACCTAAAAGCATCATTTTCTAAAAAAGATACCATGTCTAGTTTAGTCTTAAAATTCATCTTCTAAAGTGTTTTAATTGTGTCAAATTATTTTTTATTTAAACTCTAATTTTCTAAGCCAAATTAAGTTTTTTATTTTTGATCTCGACATCGTATTAAATCAATCGTTGAACCCTTTTATTATGAGACACGTCGGTTTAAATATCGAATCCACTTTAAGTCTCGACACAATATGTGTTTTTGAGAATGTTTTGATTATTAAAATGATTTTAGCTAACAACGAGTCTCTATCGGATAAGAGACTTTGTTAATCTTTCTTAGCCTTTTCTCTTTTTATTTTCTTAGTATTCCCTCTTTTTTTCTTTTTCTTTTTGTATATTCTCATTCATTTTTTTTATTACATATATTTCTTTATTGGTGAAAAATCGTCATCGGTTCCTAAAAATTAAGAGACTTGACAATTTATCCATCTATCAATTACCTAAACTAATTATTGAAACAAAATTCTAAAATTAAAATTAACTAAAATAAATTCTAAGAGATCTAGAACATTGAAATTTAAATTAAACAGGAAATAAATATACAGAAAAAAAAAAGCATTCAGGATAAACTTATCTAAAAAAATGAAATTAAAGAAATTAAAGCATTTGGAACTTTTTTTAGTCCGTGGGCCGTCGGCCCATTGGGCTTGGCCAACTTGACTGGACTGGAATCTGTCCGGTCCAAATTTTCCTTCTTTTTTTCCGGCTGGCCCATTTTTCTTTTCTTGCCTTTTCTTTTGAGGCTGGACTGGGCTTGGCTACACATGGGTTGGGATAAGCCCAACCCAAACCTTTACCTGGACCCAAGACCCAAAAACAACTCGCTACCCTTTTTGAAAAATATTTCATATCGAGTCTCTTTTTATCGTTTTTCCCTCTTTTTTTCGTCTGTCTTTCTCTCTCTCTTTTCTTTCTTCTTCCTCTCTTTCTTTCCCTCAAGGGACGAACTTCCTCTCCCTTTCTTTTTATCTTTCCTTTTCTTCCTTTCTTCTCCTTCTCCTTTTCTTCTTTCTCCCTCTCGCCCGAATCCCCTTCTCTCTCTCTCTCTCTCTCTCTGTTTTTTTTTTTTTTAATTTTATTTCTGTTCGTCCATGGAGGAATTTTGGTTCGTTCTCTCCTCCTCTTTTTCTTCCTTCTCACTCTCAAATTTCTTCTCTCCCTCTTCAATCAAAAACCCCAAATCAATTTTTACCCAAATTTCCCCCAATTTTTTAATTTTCTTTTTAATTTTTCTTTCAATTGGCCTTAATTGGCTTGATTTCTATATATTTGTATCAAGACATAAATTGCGCTCCATATTCAATGTCCTCGTTTCATCGTTCCTCAATTCCGAAATTCACAGAGTACTTGATAACTGTATCATGCGCAAAACGCCTCGATAGACTCCAATAAGATAATCAAAATATTTGTAATTCTCATATCCAAATTCGGGAACCTCAATGAAACTTATTCATCCAATGTTGAAGGGATCGTATGCAACAATATATATATATATATAATTCTTACCATCTTACCAATCCAAAACAAAAATCCCCAAATTCCGAAACACTAACTGTCAAAACCCTAATTTCCCAAAACTCAATCTCCTATTCAATTAAACAAACAAAAACGTGTGTGTGTGATCAATCCTAAAAAAAAAGGTTTCACTTTGAGATGAGATGAGTTAGGTAAAATCCTTCCTTTTCTGTTTTTTTATATATTTTTTTTCTGTTTGATTTCTTTCTTCTTGTTTTTTTGATTCTCTGTTTCCCACAGCCTTTTTTTTTATTTTTTTTTATGAACTCAGATTGATTCCGAGACTAGCCTCCCCCCCCCCCCCCCTTTCTGTGTTTTTTTTTTTTTTTTTTTTTCTGTTTTTATATACTGTGAAATTGCTGGTTGGTTCCCCACCATGATGGTGTCGGATTATTTGCAGGATATGGTGTGGGGTTGTAGGGTTGAGGGGGTTTGACAATGAGGGTTTTGCAGGGCAGGCATGGGGGTATGGCATGATCGTGGGCTATGGCAGTAGGGCATGGGGGGCTTGCAGCAGGTATGGGGGAGGCTGCAGGAATTGCAGCAAAGGAGCTGCTGGACGTTAACTGTGGAGGGTTGATTGTGGGCTACAAGTTGCAGCTTGGATGGGGAAGGATTGCAACATACTGCAGTGGAGGCTGGCAGTTGTAGGAGCAAAAATTGTACAAAGGCTCCATCTCTGTTTCTCTTTCTTTATCTTTTTTTTTTCCCCTTGTATTTTCTATTGTTTGGTATTTTTCTATTCTATTTTTGTAATCTCATCCCAAATAATAAATAAATAAATATCTTCTTTTTTTGTTTTTTTTGGGTCTAATTTCCTTAATTAATTTTGTTTTGTTTTTTGTTTTTGATTTTAGCAAAGCAAACAATGAATTAAATAAAAGAAAAACAAAAAGAACTAAAATACAGGATGCAAGGTATAATAACGCTCAAAATAAAAGATGGTAGAGGCCATTAACTATTTTTCTTTTCCATTTCTAAATATGTTTTCAATAAAAATTAGCACTGTCAAGCTATCATTTAGTGGTGGAGCTAGAAAATTTCTTATGGGTGGCAAAAAAACTTAGCTCCATCATTATTACAATTATAATACAGACACTGATGATTACAATTATAATGCAGACAATTTTTTTTAAAAAATAAAGCAGATTTTGTTTTTAAAGAAACATTGAACTTCAGTTTAAAACAATTATGTTTTAAAATCATTACAATACAGCACAAGTACATTGCTTGTAGACCAAAAATATGTAAAAACAATTTTACCTAAAATTTACAACAATACCACAAAACACTATATATATATATATATATATATATATATATAATTCTAATATGAATTATTGGAATTTAAATTCCAATATGAATTATTCTAAAACAAATTGTTTATTCTACATAAGGAAAATTACAAAGTAGGATAACATTTCTACATGTGACGATGTCATTTAGTCTGTGTGGTGCATATGCATGCATAAGTTGCCAGTTATGATTTTTTTATTGATATGTCTCCTCGCCTCAGTCAATTTTTTTTTTTTATATAGACTATCAAGTTCTCCATTTATATTTAACTATTTTTTTTTAATAAATCTGATTAATACAAGACATAATGGCCACCTCATCTTTAACAAATCGATACCCTTGGCTATATTTTTTTTTCCTTAAAAACAGTTGCTGATAAAAAAAACGAGAGAAAAAAAAGTGTGCACGCTAAGCAATGACCAACGGCAAATGCTGGCTGATAGTGCCGTCCAACATTAAGGGTTGTGAAGTAGATAATTTGCCCCGCTCAAACAAGGTCCTACCTTCCTCCGTTTCGATGAATGCAATGATTTTTCGAATTGATTAAACAACAGAGCAAAATGTCTTATCTTGTATTGATTTTGAACGAGAATGAGACGGAGAACGTATTTGCCCATTCTGCTCTGTCTTGTCCTGCCTTTTCCTATATATATATATATATATATATATATATATTAAAATATAATCTTTAACGTAATGAGTAAGTTTCAATTATCTTTAAAAAATAAAAACATATAAAAATTTATATTTTTTAATTATATTTATGATATTTTTTTAATTAATTAAGTATATTATTTATTCAATTAAAAATAATTTAATATATTATAAATTATATTATAAATTTATAATTGAATATAAATTTAAATAGTTATTTTTGTTAATTATATTTTTTATATGAATTATCGTGGTTTTGTTGTATTTGATACAAATAAGATAGAATGAAGCGGGGATCTCCGATGCCTCATGGAAATGATATAGCAGGGAAAATATTGTTCTGTATGGGGCCGGGTGGGGCTTTTCAGGAACAGGGCAGGGCCCCATTGCCATTCCTGGTTGTCCGGTAAAAAGTGGTGGCCACCAAAGAGGGAAGATAACAATATGAGCACGCTAAGCGCTAGCTAATTAAATTATCATGTATTAATTTATGTTTTTTTTTAATTCAAACGTGTTTTTATCGATTTGCCGATTAATTGTTTTATCAATTCTGAATAATCCATCTCATACACTTAGCACCCAAAAAGAAAGAGATTCAAAGCCTAAAGTAACGGTGAGCAATTCTATTCCCATCAAATTCTACCTCACACATTTGAATAGTAAATTATTGACAATAAATAAGACTTTAGACTTTGTGATCCTTAATACAACTAGAAAGCTATCAGACGATCTCTAATTATGACCCTTTCCGTTAGTTTTCTAATTATGTGAATCACATATAAGGATTAGAAAAGAGCCTCCTCCTTTAAATTTGTCAACGGAGACAAACTTGAGGAGGTCATTACAAGTTTTTAAATCTGTTGGGATTAATTGATAAAAGAGGTATAGTTTTGGGGTACAAGTTGATGTTACATTTTTCATAAATAGCACGTGCTGCATCCGGTCTGCAAAAAACCAGGGTTGGTGAGCTGCGATTTTGAAACGCGAGCCAGGATATTATTGAAAATTGAAGCGAATCTCGTTGATTTTACCACAAATCTTGAGAAAATAATATATTATTTAAATCACCATTGTCGTGAATCATATTGTTAATAAAATTGTCTCTGCAGAGAATATAATATTCGATACGACTAATCAACTTCACCACTATCAAAACACAACCTGGAAAGCACTGATAAAATTAAAATCAAAAGACACGTTAGCATTTTTGTCCTTTTTATTTTAAATATACAAGTATTTTATATGCCACGTAGTTCGTGTTTCTTATAAAATTAAATTCCAACCCTTATAATTAATTACCTAATCAATAGGCAGGAAAATATTATATTAAATTTACTATGTGTAATTTTGTTTTTTTCTTCTAATGAAATGAAACACATTATGGGTTATGAGAATTTTGAAAAGGAAGATGCTATAACCAATCGTTACAGTTTCCGTTGGGTAGCAAGTTTTTGATACACGTGAGAGAACAATAATTAAAAATGTAGGGCTACATCATTGATTAAACTCGTGCTGTGCAAGCACATGCCCTCTTCTTAGGCCAATATAAAAATACATGAAGTTGTTTACTAGTGTCATGATTTATATACATAAATGTTTGGTGAACAAGTGCTTATTAATTTTATTTTTTTCTACCGTATCTGATTTTATCGATCCTATAATTTAAATGGTTATAATACTCAATTCCAGCCATAATCTCTTTGATGCTATTAACTTCCCGTATATGTATTTAAACACCGTTATGTCTTCACCATAGCTCATCATAAAACTGGTGGTCTTTCACTGTACTCCTACCCTGTTCTACTGGTTCAAAAAATGAATAACAAGTTCAAGCTAATCATGGGTTTGGTTCCTTTTTTTCTACTAATGGTTTTTGTGCTGCCAACTTCGGCGGTACACAAGTTCGCTGAGCCAAAGATCTTACTGCCTATTCGTTCGAAGGTTTTGCATTCGGATTCAAAGAGCTACGCTGTTATTTTTGATGCTGGGAGTACGGGAAGTAGAGTGCACGTATTTTGCTTCGATCAGAACTTTGATCTCCTTCATGTTACTAAAGACGTAGATTTTGAATTGTTTGTTCAGGTTGAAATCTCTCTTCCGGAATAATGGAAAAAGATAGAAATTATTAACAGTTGTTAGTAATTTGTGACATTAGTGTAATTTCATTTTTGGATAATAGTATTGCTTTTGATTGTCACAGGTTAAACCTGGTTTGAGCGCATATGGAAACGACCCTCAGGCTGCGGCTAATTCACTTGCTCCTTTGCTTCATCAAGCCGAAAGTGTTGTGCCTCAAGAGTTGAGATCCAACACTTCAGTCAGAGTTGGGGTCAGTAAACTAAAGCCACTTATCCCGATGTTTTTGTGCCTCAAGAATGATTAACCTTTTCAACTACACCGTTAATGCTTCTGTACGTATATTATTGTTGCAGGCCACTGCAGGCTTAAGGATGTTGGGAGCTGATGCAGCGGAGAGGATTTTGCAAGCGGTGAGTTTTTAGATGGGCGGTACTAGTGATGTATTTACATAGTAAAACATTAATCAATTCTATGCTTTATCATGTGACCGTGTACTTAATATGGTCATTTGGACAATTATGTTTTGATGAAGGTGAGGGATCTTCTAAAAAGTAGCAGCCTGGACTACAAGGCAGATGAGGTTTCTATTCTGACTGGTTATCAAGAAGGTTCATATATGTGGGTACGTATGTTGCAATTCCTATACCTCTAACCGGAAAATTATTACATGTACCAGGTTCATGTGAATAAAATTTTTTTGGCTCGTTAAAGCAGTTGACCCCAATATTATTATTGTCTACTGCTGCTGATACATACATAACCAAATAATAATAATAATAAAAGAAATCTATATCTTGGAAAAATATATTTATATTGGATGCACATACGAGTGGTAACTATCTTAAATTGAAAACGAATTAAAAAAAAAAAAAAATCTTATATATAAAATAGATTCGTAGTACATTCGTCTAGACTTCTGGGCTAGCAGCAGTCTCAATTCTTACACGTATGCTCTTGTCTGTGCAAGTCCAACGCAAACGTAGAGGCCCAAGCACATCTCTACGAATACGAACAGTTTATATTCTCCTTCTTACTCCTCACTGATTGAGAAGTTGAGGAATCTATATCCAAAAACATTTGGAGTAATATCCAATCTTGTGTGTCAGTCTTTGTGCGACTGGTCCAATATAAACACTGAAGCTCATGCATTTCTCATAACACAAACAATTTACACATCCTTTTTTACTCCAGCTGATCAGTAAGTATAATGCATATTTTGCAGATTGCAATAAACTACTTGATCGAGAAGTTAGGGAACCCATATCCAAAAACATATGGAGTAATTGATCAGGGTGGTGGATCTGTTCAAATGGCATATGCCATTTCCAAAGAGAATGCTGTAAAAGCACCAAAAGTACCCGATGGAGAAGATCCATATGTAGGAAAATTTGTTCTGAGGGGAACTGAATATTACGTTTATGTTCACAGGTTCTTCTTTTTCTGATTGAGTTATTAATTTCTTGATAATATAATTGGTTATTTTCTGGTGTTTGTCACCAACTGTTGGCCCTCATTTTATAAATTTGTCTATAAATTTTACCAAAAGAATATATATATATATATTTCAGGGTCTTATATACTATACTGTAACGTATTATAAGAGAGCTATGGTACTGAGTATTAGTTTCTTTTTATAACATTGCCATCTTTGTATGCAGTTACTTGAACTATGGCTTGTTGGCGGCTCGAGCAGAAATTTTAAAGGTTCTCAGAAACTCTGGCAACCCTTGCATATTGGCTGGTTATAATGGTATGTTAAGTCACACTATTTTGAGAACTCTTGGTATCGGCGTGCTATAATACGTAAAAAAACTATTTTTTTATGCTTAATTATTTAATTGCAAAAGAAACTAAACATGATAATATTCGAATTCATGACCAAATTATAATATCATGTCAAAAAATTATTTTAATTTAAAAATTAAAATTGTTAAGTGATTCGTTATATTATTTTTTAACACAACATTAATAGAAGCTAGATACTAGAACCTCACCTGAATTTTGAATTAAAGAAAGCAAAAATTTTATAATACTTAATGAGTAACTACTATATATATATATACAACAATTACTTCATGCGTTTACTCCATAGAGAGACATATTCATATAAAAAAAGAATTACATTTGGATCTACCAAAATAATAAAAAGATTTTCACGTTGGCTCAATTTTTTTAATTTTTTAATTTTAATTTTTTTCCTTTTTTTGTGTTTATTTTTTTTTATATATAAAGTAGGTCAATGAAGTACAATAATTACTCTTTAAGTATTATAAAATCTTAGACCTTAAGGTTTATTTTTTATACATAATTTTGATCACTTGTACTTTTTGTTTAAACAAACTTAGTCCCTTCCTTAGGATTCTTTCCATACACATCAACGAAGTTGGTCACTAGTTCTGTTCGTTTGGACTTTTGTCAATTGTCAAAGCATTTTGTTATCTGGCTATCGTATTTATCAATGCTAAATGTAAAAAAATCATCTTAACACAAATGTTGAATGAAATTTTAAAAATAAATTTATATTAAGTTTAACGCAACCTAATCATTATTCTTTTTAACTATTCCAATGTGTTTTTTTCTGATATTAAAATTTAAATTGAAAAGAAGATGATAAAACCTTACTACTAACTTTGACTTTTGTTGTGGTCATTTCAAGGTTCTCTTGTCAATTACAAAGTTAGATTTAAGCCATTCTATAGTCTCATGTTGACATTACCACCTTATATATTTAGTCTAATGAGGTACAATTCATGCATGTAAGCTAGAATTTCACATCTTGCCGCTATTTTGGGAGTCATTTGATATCATTTAATTTTTTTTTAAAAAAATTAAATTCATTTAGTGGATCTAAAAGCATCTTGTATTTAATATTATTTAATTTTAATTAAAAAAATAAAAATAGTAAAATTCAAACTGATGATGATTTAGTCATCAAATCTTTAATACTATATCAAATATGATGTTCATCCTGAGAACATAAAACGGTTTGACGACACCTTTAGAATGATTTTATATTAACCATTCAGTAAGGATCATAGAAAGCTTGATTCTGTTTGTATTTTTTCAAATAATAATAATAATAATAATAATAAAATAACTACTGACAATCGATTTTCAAAACTTTTAAACTAAATAAAATAGTTTTAAAAAATTGTGATGATAGTTGGTTTTTCTTTTCTTATAGAAATTCAGAATAAAAAAAGTCTTGTGTTTTTTTTAAAAAAATAAAAAAACGAAACCATAAATGATAACAAACAATTGCTGAATTGCCAGGTTTTGAAACAATTGAGGCAAACATTTCAGATGCCAAATTAATTGCTGAAAATTATTTGCTGTTTTCGTTTTTCTATTTCTTAAAGGTGTATACAGCTATGGAGGAGAAGATTATAAAGCATCAGCTTCTCCTTCTGGTACAAGCTTCGAAAAATGCAGAAGAGTAATTCTTAAAGCTCTCAAAATTAATGCACCATGCAACTATGTGAATTGCACATTTGGAGGAGTATGGAATGGTGGAGGCGGGGACGGACAAAAGAATATGTATGTAGCTTCTTTCTTCTTCAACAAGGCTCAAGAGGTACTAATCATCCTTAATTTTGGCTGCGTGAGAAATTTGCTACAGTACTTTTTCTTTTTTTCCCTTACCTGGCATGTTTATAATTAAATTTGCTACAGTAATTTTTTTTTTCCCCTTACCTGGCATGTTTATAATTAAATTATTGAGATTTACTGCAGGCTGGTTTTGTCGATAGCAATGAGATTTCGGGCACAGCTAGCGCATCAGATTTCAAGAAAGCAGCTAGGGTTGCTTGTCAGACTAAATTTGAGGATATAAAATCCAGATTTCCAAATGCAGGGAAGACCGACTTGCCATACTTATGCATGGATTTAGCATATGAGTACACGTTGCTTGTTGATGGATTTGGTAAGTCATTTCAGACACTTAAGTTGTGAAAATTCTTGTGTACATGTATTGATTCAAGGATTCTGCTGTTTTCTGTCGCTGTATATACAGGTATTCATCCTCGGAAAAAGTTTACATTGGTGGGGCAGATTAAATACCATAATTCCATCATGGGAGCTGCATGGCCATTAGGTAGTGCCATAGAGGCTGTGTCATCAGAAGCACGAGTAAAAACTGCATTAGCATAGGGTTCCTTGTCATTCCTTTTTGGATCAATAAGGCTTTATAATTCCCAATGCTTTAATTCAGAAGTCTGTACGCAGTTGTAACAATGAGAAGATAATAACTCGGTTCTTCTCCATTTTTAATTGCATTACAAAATGTATTAGTTGAGTTGAATCGGTTGATTCTAAGTCAATTTGCTATGTGATTTTTCTAGAGTGCTATTGTCGCTACTCGACGTCGGATGGGAATCCTAAAAAAATATCTAATATTAGATTGAATATTTACAAGTTTATTTACAGAGTTTGGAGTCGTCACCTAGTATTGAAGGAATTAGGAACCCGAAACGGACATTGGTTCGGAGATTCTATGGTAAGGAGTTGGTTACGCTTTTGGGAAGATATCGATCACCCAAAAGCGCCCTTTTAAAAAAAAGGTACCACGTCCGGTTTAGCTTTAAATTTATCTCCTAAAATATTTTATTTACGTCAAATTATTTTCTCGATTCTTAATCTCCCATTTTTTTAAAGCCGAAGTTAATTTTAATTTTTGGGCATGGCATCGTATTGAAACGATCGTCGGTCTCCTTTATTGAGCGACACGTCGGTTCAAACATCGGATCCATTATAAGCCTTGACACAACCGGTGGGTCGAAGGACATCCCGATTAAAAGGTGATTTTTGGTGACGTCGGTCCCTATCGGATATGAGACTTCGTCGAAAAAATTTGGTGTTTTATTTTTATTTTTTATTGATAGAGAATCATCATCAATCTCTAAAAATTAGGAGACTCGGCGATTACCTATCCCTTAATTATCTAAACTAATTACGAAAAAAAATTCTAAATTTTTAATTAACTAGAATCAACTAAAATAAATTTCGAGAAAATTAAATATATTGAAATATAATTATAGACATGAATATACATAAACAAACATATTCAAATTGAATTTACTTAAAATAAAACGAATAAATGAAAAATTTGAGCTTTATTGTCATTAGGTCGGACTTTTTGTCAGGTGACCACTTTTATATGCCATGCTTGCTATTGATTGAGCATGGATTGAAATTGCTAGCATGCTTGTTCTAATTTTTTAACTCCTCTGTGACGTGCTTGGTGTACAAAATATATTTATATTAAAAGTACTCTTCACCTTTTCTAGCATTGGCTTGTCATCTGTTCCATGGAGAGTAGCTCGTGAGTGGGAGCTCCAACGGACCCATTTTTCATTGGTTTGTCCCTGCCTTTGACTTCAAGTTTTTTAGGTGATCACTACTACGGTAGGCGTAAGGAACTGGTACTGGGTCTGCCGTTTGAGATTGCTTGGGATTGCTAGGAATGAATTTTTTTAGAGATGTGAAGGTTCCCTTGTCAGTCTTTGAGGGAGAGATAGAAACGCTTTGGGTGGTGTCGGGATCTTTAGGAGAGGGAGGCGGCTTTTTTCTCTCTTTTTTTTTTCTCTTCCCCCTCCTTTTTTTTTCTTCTGCAAATTGGAATTCCAAAGCTTTTTATAGGCCAAAAACATCCTAAAATTTCTCTCAAAATCAATTCAAAAATCAAATTTTAATTGGCAAATCTTAATTTTGAGATTTTTTTAGCTAAAAATAAGGAGATTCCAATTTAAAATGATTTGTGAAAGATTTTAACATATTTTTGAATGATTTTAGGGAGGTTTAATATTTTTTGCTTTTTTTTTTTTGTTTTTTTGTTTTTTTTTTTAAAGAAAACCCAAAATTGGCTTATGACGAGTTGCCCCCTCTTTACAATGCTTACGATGCAAATCTTAGTCGAAGTGTGAACTTCGGAATGGATTTGTTTAGTGAGCTTGTAAAGAAAGTCTTCTTCTTCTTCTTTTTCTAGAAAAATAAATGTGCAGTTCATGAAAAAATTAAGGACAAAGTACATGAAAAATAAAAGGTGCGGTATATAGCCTTATTGTAAAGGGCGATCTACCTTAGAAAATTAAACGTGCAAGTGCGTGACCTTATTGTAAAGGGTAGCCTACCCTAAAATTAAACATGCAATGCGTGGACTTATTGTAAAGGGCTAAAATTAAACATGCGAGTGTGTGGCCTTGTTGTAAAGGGCGGTCTTCCCCGAAAAATAAAACGTGTCATGCGTGACCTTATTGTAAAGGGCGACCTACTCTAAAAATTAAATATGTGATGCATTGTCTTATTGTAAAGGACAACCTATCCCGAAAATTAAACGTGCGGATGCGTGGCCTTATTGTAAAGGGCGACCTACCCCGAAAATTAAACATGCAATGATCTATTGTGAGGTGACCCTACCCGAAAGAATGATCTATTATTAGGCGATCCCGCTTAAAAGAATGGTCTATTGTGAGGTGACCCTACCCGAGTGGATGATCTATTATTAAGCGATCATGCCCGAAAAAATGGTCTTTTGTGAGGTGACCCTACCCGAGTGGATGATCTATTATTAGGTGATCCTGCTCGAAAGAATGGTCTATTGTGAGGTGACCCTACCCGAGTGGATGATCTATTATTAGGCGATCCCGCTCGAAAGAATGGTCTATTGTGAAGTGACCCTACCCGAGTGGATGATCTATTATTAGGCGATTCCGCTTGAAAGAATGGTCTATTGAGAGGTGACCCTACCTAAGTGGATGATCTATTATTAGGCGATCCCGCCTGAAAGAATATGTGGGGAAATGTGACCCCCTTGTTTGAATTTCGAGTTTGATTGAACGTTTTGTTTGTTTTTTTTTGAGTTGAAATTGACAACAATCTTACCTAAAAGAAACATAGGCCATCCTGCTTTGTCGGTACTCAATCCCCCATTTGCCTCATTTTAGAAATCTGTGCTTGGATTGTATCTCGTGGTACTCGTCAAGATTTCCTTGCCCCCAAGGCTTGAACCACTATTCATAGTGAACTTGAGGGTTTTTTTTTCTATGCTTGGAAAGTGATAAACCACCACATGCTTTAATCCATCCTTGTAAAATCATGATTGATTGCTTTGGTCGCTTATCAAATTTTGACCGAGTCATTGTCCTCCCTTAGGACTGCTCTTTGCCCCCGACTTGATCGCTTTGATTGCTTTGATTTGAGCACAAAAGCGTACTATTTTGACCTCTATTCCTCCATTTAGCATAGCATAGTGATGTCATTATTTGACAAGTTGTTGAACTCAACTAGAGTTTTCTAGACTCTTGATCTTACCCCTAAGTATTCTCTACGAAATGTCGATCAGTCGAGCTACGAAATGCCCCTAAGTGTTGGTTGAGATAAGACACTTATCATTTTCTTGACATAATCACCGTTTGTGTTCGAATGCTTGTTTCGTGATGCTTGCATCATGATTTGCAAATTCATCTTAAAATTTTTATCATCTTTTGAAAAACATCATAAACATTTGGCTTTTATGGATTGATTCGTATATTTGAATGATTCTCTTAAAACAATTCAGATTATTTGAACGAAATGTAGAGATGTTCCGATGAAAGTACTTTCATTCATGAAGATATTTAAATTTATTGATCAAAAGTCAAATCATGACATTCAAATGCTATGATGCGATTTCTTCAAGAAAGTTGGGCTAAGCAAGCAAAAAAAAAAAAAATTTTGGTCATGCAAAGTTTGCATAAAAGTTGACATTTGAGGGATTTGAAGGTAATTAATCCAAGATAAGTTCATTTCGGGTAAATGAAAAAATTTTAAGCGAGAAAGCATTTGAAAAAAAAATGGTTTTGAAGGATAATTTTATCTTAGAATATCTTGATTCTGTTTATTTTGCCCCCAAGGTTTGTTGATGAAGACTCATGATTCAACGACAAATAGTATACCGACTCATCATACTTTCTTTTCCTCAATCATCATTTTTTTTTAGATTAAAATCCAACAACCTAGGTAAACTTTCTTTGATAAGAAAGGACTTGCAAAAGCACATAATGCGAGTTATGGCGATGGGTTTATGAAAAAAGGATATAAAGGCTCAAAATGTGTTTGAAGGTTTTTTGACATAGAATCATTTTGTTGTCCATGAAAATCTCTTTAGGTCACGTCGCTTGGACTTTATCACTTGAGCCGTTAGTTTGGTTGCTATGTCCTTGAGAAAATTCTTCTAGGCTTGCCACCTAGATTTTGTCATTTTGACTTTGTTTTCTTGCCTCAACTCTCTTTGTCTCGTTTGTTGAATTTTGATTCCCATCTTGACTTATAGTTTTTATGTTCGAGAAGAAGTTTTTTTTTCCTCCCCTATTTTTCTTTTTCTCTTAAGATAATCGATGAGATTCTTTTGATATAAATTTTTGAGAGTTTCATTGACCCTTCATGGACTATACACTTTGCCTCCGGTGTGAGGGGTGATCCTAGTTCGGGTTATTATGAAGAAAATCATCGGGCTCAAAGTGGGACGACGAAGGATAAAATATCTAATATTAGATTGAATATTTATAAGTTTATTTACGAGTTTGGAGTCGCCACCTAGTATTGAAGGAACTAGGAACCCGAAACGGACACTCGGTTCGGAGATTCTATGGTAAGGAGTTGGTTACGCTTTTGGGAAGATATCGATCACCCAAAAATGCCCTTTTCGAAAAAAGGTACCACGTCTTGTTTAGCTTTAAATTTATCTCCTAAAATATTTTATTTACGTCAAATTATTTTCCGATTCTTAATCTCCCTTTTTTTTTAAAGCCGAAGTTAATTTTAATTTTTGGGCATGACATCGTATTGAAACGATCGTCGGTCCCCTTTATTGAGCGACATGTCGGTTCAAACATCGGATCCACTATAAGCCTTGACATAACCGGTGGGTCGAAGGACATCCCGATTAAAAGGTGATTTTTGGTGACATCGGTCCCTATCGGATTGGAGACTTTGTCGAAACAATTTGGTGTTTTATTTTTATTTTTTATTGATAGAGAATCATCATCAATCCCTAAAAATTAGAAGACTCGGCGATTACCTATCCTTTAATTATCTAAACTAATTACAAAAAAAAAAAAATCTAAAATTTTAATTAACTAGAATCAACTAAAATAAATTTCGAGAAAATTAAA